ATTCACATACATCCAAAAGTAACAAATGGAATAAAATTAATTTTGGATTCATTCATTATGTCATGATTCAGATATTCTGATGGATCCACCTCCTCCTAACCCAAACACAATAAGTAGGAATAATCTTATTTTACTTTTGCACCTTACTGCATTTATTGCAATATGTTCCATTTAAAATGCAGTGCATTTTTTATAATAATGAGAAATGTTAACGCAAAAGGAATTGGCTAATTATCCAAGAGTCAAAGATTACCACGCTGCTCTCATCCAAATAAAACAAATGAATTTGAATTAATACCTATACATTTATTATGTTTTTAAGTTGAATTAATGTCCTTATTCCCAACTGACTTTTCTTGTAGGGCTTCACACATACAAATTAAATGAATGATCTCTAAAGTTCAACCCCAAAACAAAATGAATCTTAGAATATTCATGCTATGCTCACTAGAATAAAAACAAATGGATCCGAATGAATTTGGATCATTCGTTATGTTGTTACATTATTTCGGATGCTTCAGACATTAACAAAAAGCCCAAACCATCGCATCATGTCATCCAAATGAAACAAATGAATATGAAAGAATTTGTTGTTTTCCGTAAATGTTTTTTTTTTTGATTTGTTGAAATTTGTTACTATTGTGATTTGGAGATTTGGATACACATATTTCCTCCACATTTTGATTCATAATGAAACGAATTGCACATGTTTACTTTATGTCTTGACATTTAGAATTTTCATGGGTGCTGTGCTTTCATTCTGTGGTGGTTTGTAATAAATTCCTATTTTTAGCTTCGCTAAATCTATTACATTTTCATTACAAAAGTCTTAGCCACATAGAACCCATTTGTAGGTGCTATTTTCCATTTCTGCAGGCTTTAGTGAAGTCAAGACAAATAAAATTTTTGTTGAATTACTATTCAGTAGTAGAGATTTCCAATGAGCACTGGGTTGCTTCTCATCAATCTTGTCCAGTAGTTAGTTCTGCTCCGACTTCGCACATCCTCTAGCTTCCTATATGTATTTTTACTTCTAGTCAAATACTGATCGAAATTCAGCTGATTCAGCCAAACTTCTATATTTGTATGGCTGTCCCTGCTCATCCCTGGGTGAAGGAATGCAAAAAAAAAAACAGTAGGGGAGATTTATTTAATCTGGAGTATACAGAATCTGGCTCAGCTGTGCACAGTAACCAATCAGCTTCCAGGTTTTATTGTTAAAGCTTAAAGCCCCGTAAACACGATGAGAATATCGGACGAACGATCGCCCGTTTTTTTTTTTGTTTGCTAGTCTCACATCGAAAGTGAAAAGGTTATTAAAGATACGAAAATTCTCCTATGAAAGAAAATAATTTAAAAAGTGATGTCATGTATTGTATTGTATTGTATTGTATTTTCGGACGACTACTGTACTGATTAAACGAAAATGGTACGATCTGGTATCATACGAGAAACATTTTTGCGCTTCTCTCTTTGGATATTGTTGCACAAATTGTTGTGATTGGCTCTCAAAAGCTGTGTACTAACGATCCAACTATTGGATGATTGGTCCTCGTATGAAAATTTTCGTACAATATTCTTATAGTGTGGACAGGGCATTACTGAACAACTGAAGTTAGAAGCTGATTGGTTACTATGCACAGCTGCACCAGATTCTGAGTCCTCCAGATCTAGTAAATCCCCCCCTGTTTTTTTTTATATTCGTAAATCTCCGCCATTGTGTTAAAAGCTTTAGTCAGTGTGCCATTACTCACCGTTAATCTATTGATTTTGTGTTTCATCACAAAGTTAATTGGTCCACAGCCCAATTCAAGTCCCAACCAGCAGTTTAAGAAAGCACTAGTGTATATAAAATATGCATATGTCAATTATGTTTTACTGTCTTATCCCCAATTCTACCTGTTAATTTTTTTTCTCTGTTCTCCACTATAATTCCTTAAATTGCTCATTGTTCTATGTTTCACTGGTTTCTCTTACTGCCATTTCCCATTTCTCCACCAGTAGTTTGTGGCTGTTTGATATCACACTCTTCACCACTGGCTTCTTCTCATCTCAGTAAACCAAAGTTTATACTGGACAAGACAATGGGCCAGTGAACATGTGAAGGCACCAATTTTTTCAAACATTATACATTTGCTCTAGTGGTGCAGGACAAGGTGGTTTTAACTTTTCACTTCATCTATAGTAAAGGTGCAGGTGTGGGATGGGCCATACTGCTAGTGATAAAGGTATATCCAGCTAGAAGAAATCTAACCAGTTTAACCACTTGCTTTTCAGACGATTTCCCCCCTTCCTGACCAGGCCATTTTTTGTGATACGGCGCTGTGTTACTTTAACTGACAGTTGCGTGGTCATGCAACACTGTACCCAAATTAAATTTACATTCTTTTTTTCCCCATAAATTGAGCTTTCTTTTGGTGGTATTTGATCATCTCTGCGGTTTTTATTTTTTGCGCTATAAAAAAAAGGCTGCCAATTTTGAGAAAAAACAATATTTTTGACTTTTTGCTATTAAACATGTCCATTAAAAAATTTTTAAAAATCAAATGTCGTCATAACTTTAGGCCAAAATGTATTCTGCGACATGTCTTTGCTAAAGAAAAATCCCAATACGTGTAAATTATTTGGTTTACATGAAAGTTATAGCGTTTACAAATGGCGGTATAGATACTGGAATTTTTTTTTTTTTTTACTAGTAATGGCAGCAATCAGCGACTCATAGCAGGACTGCAGGACTGCAGTGGGCATTCTGACACAGGGGGGGACTGACATAACCGGTGACACCAATACAGTGATTAGTGCTAATAAAAAGCACTGACAGTGCACTAATGACACTGGGCAGGAAGGGGTTAACATCTGGGGCGATCAAAGGCTTAACTGTGTATTGTGCGCTGGAGCTGACAGGGGAGAGATCTGTATTGTTTACAGACAGGTCTCTGCCCCTGTCCTTGACGCACGGTAATCGCCGGGTGCCGGCAGGGAATCACCAGCTGGGACCCAGTGATCGACAGATGAGGCCGCCAATGGCAGAGCAGGTAGGGTGGCTTCGCACACGCGTGCCCCCTCTACCTGGTAATGCTTCATATACATATATATGTATATATATACATACGTGATTTTGTGCATCCCTGCTGCCCTGTAGCAGTATTTCTGCTATAGGGTGGCGAGAAAGCAGTTAACCAGTAGGACATTATGAGAAATGCATCTGAATGAGTGATTACAAAATACACAAAATAGTATTCAGGGATTGTAAATGCCTAAACTTTAAAGTATAACTAAAGTCAAAAATATTAACTTTGGATTGAATAGGAAAGGGTTAAAGTCAGCTGAAACATTAAAGTGTTACTAAACCCCCAACAGTAAAATCAATCTGTCTATGCAGTAAAGCATGCTTACTCACTGTGGAACCTAAGGGGTTAATCCTCTGCATTGTGTAAAAAGGCTGTTTGATCCTTTCTTCTCTGTTCCTCCCCTTTTTCAAGCGACTACCACTTATCTCCAGACTGAACCGTAGGCATGCACATGCTCAGTTTGGTGTATAATGCTGGAGAGGTTTTTCTTTTTCTTGGGAGAGTACATGTGATCAGCACAGGGCCAATCAGCACTGTCCAGACAGAGGTCAGGTGATTCGCATCCTCCTAGAGCAGAAAGAGAACTCCTCCTACAAGCTTTAGCTAGTGCTGGACTGGACACTGATAGAAATCACAAGACAGCTCTAGGAGCTGAGGAGAAAAAGTATTTAGCAGTTATATTTACTAAAATAATTGCACTTCTGTGTACGGTGGGAGAACAGATATAGTGAATGAAGGGTCCTGCGTTTAGTAATACTTTAAAGAATGTTTTCACTACTAAAATACTGCAAAACTTAATAATATAAATAATGCAGTATTTTAGAAGCTGTGCAGTATTTACTGCATACTCAGATACGATAAGATACCGCTTAGTGAATTGTCCCTGTTCGAATGAACTTTCGTTAGGTTCGAATGTTCGACTGCAAACCAAATAGGAGGGTGTTCGGCCCATCACTACTCGTGTTGGTGGCTGCCTTCAGGCCTTACGCTGGGCTGGCTCCTTCCCTGCTTCCCAGGCTGTCCCCTCTCAGAGGACGATGAGGCTGAGAGATCCTCCCTTCCAGATCCTCCACCTGTAGGCAGGCCCCTCTCCTGGATCCCCTCCCAGGCTCCACACTTAATCCTGCTCACTCCATCTTCCACCCAAACTCTCCTGCTGCTGAGAAGGCACCACCACTCTTAAGGGCTGTCCTGACCTCATGCCAAGCCTTCTGCTTGGGGATTGGCCAGGATCCATTTAGAGTGCAGACCAGACCAGTTCCTCCTCACCTCCACCCACTGAATTCTAGATTCTAAAGACTTTTCCAATTCTCTAGATCAGGGGAAGGTATCAGGGAACTGATTTGCAGAGCCTCTCAGCCCTAACCCAAATTTGACCCATCTGACTATTTCTCCCAGCTGCTATTCAGCCTCCTACTAAAAAAAAAGAACTTAGATCCCTCATAGCTACCTAGGAAGTTGCTACATAAGCTAACAGTAACATTTCTATGAAGACTATTTATGGGCTTATATTTTTTTTATTATATCTGATGTATATTGTTATTGATGTATATTATTGTTTTACCAATCTTGACAGGTGTCATTGGTCATCTATTTAACAAGTCAGAGACATTTTATCTCTTAGGATTTGGTGAACAAAGCTCACCACTCTTTCTGCTCTTTGCACTGTTTCTGTCAATGTATTTGGTCACTGTTTTTGGAAACCTTGGAATCATAGTGCTTATATTAACAAATGACCATCTTCAGAGCCCCATGTACTTTTTCCTATTAAACCTAGCATTTGTTGATCTTTTGTATTCCTCGGGTATTACACCTAAAATGCTGGCTGACTTGATTTCAGCAGAAAAGAGTATATCTTACCTGGGATGTGCTTGCCAAATGTACTTCTTTATTGCCCTTGGGAGCACCGAAAGTTTTCTTCTTGCTGCAATGGCGATTGATCGCTATGCAGCAATATGTAACCCACTTCTCTATCTAAGGATTATGACTAAGGAAAAATGCCTAAAGTTATTGAGTGGTTCTTACTTTGGTGGTTTTCTTCATTCTTTAATACAGACATGCTGTACTTTTCGCCTTTCATTTTGTGGCTCTCACCAAATTGATCACTTCTTTTGTGATATTCCACCTTTACTAAAGCTCTCCTGTATGGATACATCTACAAATGAACTTATTCTGCCAATATTTGCATCCATTGTAGCAGCTGGCTCTGCTATTGTCATAGTTATCTCTTATACTTCTATTTTACGTGCTGTTTTTAAAAGTCGATCTTTACAAGGAAGACGCAAAGCATTCTCCACCTGTGGCTCTCATTTCATTTGTGTCATTCTTTTCTACAGCACAGTCCTCTTTATGTATCTAAGACCAAGCTCAATATATTCTTTACAACAAGACAAGATTATCTCAGTAGTGTATACACTGGTCATTCCAATGTTGAACCCTCTAATTTACAGTTTGCGAAATCGAGAAATAAAGCTTGCTCTTAGGAATGTTATTAAAACATTTAAAAATGATTAATTTTAGGGATAGTTGTACTATAGAAGAAACAAGTTGTGATGCATGCTTAAATCTGAAAGCGGTTGTAAAGCTAGAAGTTTCTTTTTTCACCCTAATGCATTCTATTCAAAAACTTTCTGTATCCTGCTTTCTTCCCAGCCCTATACTTACCTGAGCCCAAAATTAATTCAGCAATGTGCAGGAGAGCAAAGGCTCTCTCAGCTCTCTCCCTCCTCATTGGCTCAGAGACAGCAACGGTGTCACATACCTGGTGAATAATGAGCTAGAGAGGGGGCTTCTCTTGTACCTCTTGTAGATATGGCTCGCGCATTCCCCCTGCCCGGGAATGCATAATCAAGTAAATATGTGTGATTTTGAGCACCCCTGCCGCCCTGTAGCAGTATATCTGCTATAAGGCGGTGGGAAATTGGTTAAATAAGTGTTAAGATCTGAATCTTTTGGGTTGGTAACACTGTTAACCCTGTGCTGTTAAAGAATCCGCACCATAAAAGTGATGTTTTCCTTTTAATACAGTTTTGTTTTTATATGGAGTCTTCCCTCTCAGGGCTACCCACAGTCTAGTTTCCAGGCTTTGAGTGGACACAGTAAGTGATTTCACTCAGTTTGTTGTGTGACTTACAGTGAATGAAAACAGTAAACATCTTAATTTTCTAATCAATAAAAAAACTTTTTAGGCAATCAAAAGATATAAACTAGATAGCTGGAATCTCCAAGGAATGCCCAACTTCATTATTCTTTTTGAGATAAATTATTATTTGGAAGTAGGAGGCTACCGAAATGCATATTCCTGAGTGTTACAAAGAGAAGTTCTGCAAGGTCCTCTGGCATCTCCATCTTCTTCCTGAACTTACAGCGGTATTAAGCCCAAAACGAAAAACTGTAATATATTGCAGCTTACCAATCATTAAAGTCGATGGGTGCATCAGTTTTCTTTTCTTTGGCTATTCTCCCTTGGTTTCACCTTGTGATCTCGCCAGCAACACACCTCCTTTATCAGTGAGACACCACTAAAGGTGAATGAGCACAGGAGGCACAGCAGACACCAACATTGTCAGTGTGGAGGGGGAATGGGAGTGTTAAATGTTATAGCAGATTTAAATACACTAAGGAATTGAAGTCAAACTCCAGATCACATGTTATAATCATTTACAGCAAACAGTTTTATCCTTTTTGAGATAAAGGTTTTACATGAAGAAATAAAAGCTGACCATTTTAGCACCCCTACAAGTGTTAAATGGTTTGTCTCATTCATGTAAACTGATACATTCTGCTGAGGAGCTTGTGTTTTTGAAAAACAGCAGACTTTGCTGGCTTGATCACCAGATGAAAAAAATAGAAGAAAGAAAGCCTAAAAAAGGCCACTAATACAGCCATCACATCTAAGAATTGGTATGATGCAATAAAATACATGGTTGCTTTTGGGTTTAATACTACTTTAAGCACATGTAGCTTGCACATCTACATGTACAGCAGTGCAGGGTACAGAAATGACAGTCAGTGTGCAGTAACCCTAAATTTACCACATTTTGGTAACATTTTGGACAAATAAATGGGATGGAGGTGATGAAGAAAATATTAAACCATGTGATCTAGTCATAATCAGCATGTTATAACAGATTATTATTGTTATAATAAATTAATTTGAGAACTAAAGTAGTTAATAACTCATCAAAATTGAAGATTTAAAAAGTCTGTAATTGTGTAGCGCTACCCCCTTAGGAGTCGCTGAGTTATTTTCAGGCTCCCTGTCGCTCTGAACCCTTCTCTGAAAGCCCAACCCCTGCTGTACTCTTCTGACCAGAGTAAATTATCACCAGAAAACAGACACACACACAGATTGGAGTGAACTGATATGATGTTTATAATAAACTTGGATTTAAGCTCAGTCATACAGTAAAAAGTGGTATATGTACATAATGTGTATATAATGGCAATTACTACTCTTAGTAACTCTAAGCAAAGAAAACAAAACATACAGCAAAATTTCAATCAGTGTTGGCAGGCCTGCTATTCAGAAGTTAGCCCAAAATCTCAAACCTGAAGTGTTTCTAGTCACCAGTGATCAAGGAAAAACTATTGGAAAGGTGGAACTAGTTCATTTTGGAGCCTCAGGATTTGATAGCAAGATTTAAATCTGAAATAGAAAGGAGCACCTTTAATTAGGGTAGTCAACACCCCATTAAACACAGTGAGGAATCTTCTGCGCACTCGTTGGGGCACAGTTGATGCACTAGAAATGATCCAGACTTTTTAAGTAGGAAAAGATGAAAGTTGAAAAGATGAAAAGATGAAAGTCCGTGGTTTTCACGCCCCTCTCAGATAGCGTCAGATTGCCCGTCAGTACACCAGTCATCACATTTAACCCCTTGATTGCCAGGAGCACGCTCATGCACAATAAACCTCCATTGCTAGTATAGTGTCTGAACAGGTCAATATCTTTGATCAGATCAGCACTATACCAGCGTTCACATTAGTATAATGTCCCAAAAAACGCAGCGTTAGTGGGATCAGCCCCGGCACCTGCCAGCACCTGCATTTAGCCCCTACGCTTACCCCCCCACTTCTCCCCCAGCAAGTACAGTGTCAATAGGTCACTGTCACTTGATACATTGCACACAAAACCGCAGTGTTTGCAGAATCAGGCCTGATCTCTGTTAGCACTTGCCGGTAAATTTTGATGACTCTCATATGCAGCAGAGTGCCAGTACTAGTGTCACTCTACCTTTTGGTGAACTGGCGAGCATCAGCGGCCTAGTACATCCTGGTCTTTCACATACCTCCTTGATTTTTGGAGCTGTTTTTCACGGAATATCTGTATGCGTTGATTGTGGATCAAAGCAATTTATATGCACAACAATTTATCGCCGCCAACCCAAATTCAAACCTTGCCAGACCATTCACATGGAAACTCATTACGGTTTTCAAATTTACATTTTTTTGGGGCCTAACCCTCAACATGGACATTACTAAAAGAAATGTATTGGCCCGCACACCCGATTCATCATATGCCCATGTGCTCTGCTGCCATGGCCAGGCATAGATATAAGAGTATAATGTGTTTTATGCATTTCAACGACAATACACTCTGTCATCCTCGGGGTAACCCTGAATTTGACCGACTCCACAAAATTCAGCCCCTCGCAAATCACCTTAACCAAAAATTTTCAGATGTTTATACTCCCCAGCAAAACATCTGCATTGATGAGTCCCTCATTAATTTTTCTGGTTGCCTTGCAGGCAAACAATTTCTCCCCAGCAAGCATGCTAGATATGGGGTCAAGATGTAGAAGACCTGTGAGAGGGCAACAGGCTATACTTATAAGTTTTGGATTTACGAGGGAAAAGATAGTCACATGGAGCCCCCCGGATGCCCAGACTACATGGGGAACAGTGGCAAGATAGTTTGGGACTTGGTGTCATTCTTTTTCCATATGGGGTACCACTTATACGTGGACAATTTTTATTCAAGCTTGCCACAATTTAAACATTTATTCAATCTTGGAACTGGCGCTTGTGGTAAAGTGTGACCTAATATGTGCCCACCATTAGAAAGTGGGTGGATGCAGGGCGGTATATTCTAATGGTGGGCATACCACACACTTTTTTTCTGGAAGAGATTTCTTCTCATTTTTTCATTCAGTCCACAGGCTGCATACAAAAAAAAAAAGAACATAGCATATATAACCAACAAGGACCAGCGACGTACTGGTACATCAGTGGACTTTGAATGGTTATACCATGAAGATGCCTACAGCTGCAGGCATCATCCTGGTATCATTTTTTTCAGCCAGCGATCGGCTTTTATGTAAAAGCAATCCTAGTGGCTAATTAGCTGCAGGATTGCTTTTACAAGAAGCGGGAGATGATGCCCCCCTTCCCCGCTGCCTTCCACGGCCTTCTCGGGCAGTCTCGTGCCATCGGGGGAACCTGAGAATGCAGCCGGTGTTTCTGCCAGCTGACCATAGAGCTGATTGGAGACCAGAGTGGTGCCAATCATCTCTATAGTCTAAGAATTCGGAAGCTACAAGCATTTCATCACTTCAGTTTCGCAGGATATAAACATTTGTAAATTGGGAAAGCATCTGATCACACCGATTTTGGTTTGATTAGATAATATAAGGGCAGAGGAGATATCCAGAGTCTAAAAGACCCCAGATTTCTCAAAAAAGAATATATGACAATGCCCATTGAAGTTATAAGGGATATTTGCATTCCTGTTATAGCATTAGAAGTGATAAAAAAAATGAAAGGTGCAATGTAAAAATAATAAAAAAAATCAAAATAACTAAAAAAAAAATGCACCTGTGTGCACAAGCCTTGACCCTGTGCCGATATGTAAACATGCATGTGAGGTATTGCCGTGAACGTCAGATCAAGGGCAGTAATTCTAACACTAGACCTCCTCTGTAAATTTAAAATGGTAGCTTTTAAAGGCTTTTAAAGCATTGCCTATGGATATTAAAAATGTTTGCAGTTTGTCGCCATTGCACAGGGCATGCACAGTTTTAAAGCATGTCATGTTTGGTATCTATTTACTCGGCATACCATTATCTTTTATATTTTACCTAATAATTGGCCAATATATTGTGTTTTTGTGCATTAAAAGTAAAAAAAAGAGTATTTTTTTTTTAAATTTGCATTTGAAAAATCGCTGCGAGAGTACTATGTGCCATAAAAAATTGTAGTACCCACCATTTTATTCACTAGGTTGTCTGCTTTGAAAAAAATATATAATGTTTGTGGGTTTAAATTAATTTCCTAGCAAAAATTACTGATTTTTTTCATGTGAACAAAAAGTGTCAGAAAAGGCTTGATCTTCAGGTGGTTAGAAGAGTGAATGATCTGTAGTATTAACTTGGTGATATCCTGGCATGTCAGGGCCCTTGAAACTGTGATAGGTAGTGAGGAAGTGTAATGAGGAAGTTACGCACCTTCAGGCTTTCAAAGTAGTCATTGGATTTCAGGCTCCTGTATGTGGCTAGGATCCCAAAAAGTCTCAC